TAACACATGTTTGTCAACAAGAATTATCAACATTAAGTTATTAATATTAAGTTATTAATATCGAGTTTTTCATATTTTACGTGACATCTCACATTTATTTTTTTGTTAGTCTTTCTAATTTATTACACTTTCTTCTTGAAAAATACATTCAGCAATATTATATATCTTGTTCCCAGCTTATGGTGTCCATTTCATATAATAGCATTTAATACTGTTGTACTTCTTCTTCTGATGGCACATTTGAAAGCAGTCTGCAGTGATCCAGGTATAGTACCCTTACCACAAAGTAGAATGGACTTTTCCGATATTCATGTCTCCGGAGGAAGCGACGATCATGAGAGTGATGAGAAGGACGATTGGACAGTGTGTACTAGATGTGAAACATATAGACCACCTAGAGCACATCATTGTAGAATTTGTAAACGTTGTATCAGAAAAATGGATCATCATTGTCCATGGTAACTATATGAGCTGTATGGAAAACAATAGTAATACATTAAAAAATCGATATAATAACTAATTAATTTTTAAATTAATCTCATTGTATTTAAACGATTAATGTTCCATTCATTTGGATTTATTAAAGTTTTAACTTTCTTATTTAAGGATCAACAACTGCGTCGGCGAGAGGAATCAAAAGTACTTCATACAGTTTCTAGTGTACGTTGGTGCATTAGCTGTCTACGCTATTATTTTAGTCATTACGTCCTGGATTTATGACTGCCCGCAATGCAATAACGATATTGCAGTCAAACAAAATCGCATGTATGTACTTACTTTCTCATGAGAAATTTATGATAACTGGAATACTAATGTTGAATACCTGTTGCAGTTTACATTGTGTAACATTAGTTTTGGAGTCGGGGTTATTTGGTATGTTTGTCATAGCGATTCTAATTGATCAATTCCAAGCGATCCTAGGCGATGAAACTGCCGTGGAGCGCGTGCAAGGTATACAGCAACGCTATCACAAGAATACACCACGAACGTTTACGCTGTTGTCTCAAGTATGTGGAAAGAGCCATCCAATATTTTGGCTACTACCTTGCCACAATCCGCCACGTTACTCTTTCAGAAAGGACGCATATTTAATCGATCACGAAGTTTGAGATCATATACGAAACGAGTGTATTACATGTCTGCACATACACGGTATTTTTTGTATTATTTTTTTATATTATATATAACAGTATATTAGAGTAATTCATTCCTTGGATTAGTACTTTAACATGTCTTTATACGAATTATTGACATAATATAGATTTCAGATTTGTAGCTATAACGTTTCTACAGCGTGGAAATAATATATATGTATAATAAACACTCATTCTCATAATATATTAAGATGATTAATAATGTCATGAATATATTAATTATTATTATTTTACATGTATATATTTCATATAAAATATATACACATAGCGTATATATATGCATATATACACATATATGTATGTATTTATTTAAATATGAACAAATAATAGCTTTAATTAGTACATGTTATTACTTAGGTTGAATATATGTAATAACAGTACACATACATGAGAATGTAATTGATATTTTATGTTAATAAATTAATTTTCTTATCTTTTAAAGTTAAAATATATATAAGAATAAGTGATATTTCAAGTGATACAAATAATAATTTTTTTATTTAAGATAATTATTGCTAGGAACTATATCCTCGCCTAATAAATTAATTCGCTGCAAGGATTGTATTGTAGTATTCTAGAAAATACATAAAATTGTGTTAATATAATTTTAGAAAATTGAAACTTATTATTAGGTAATGAATACGTATTTTTTAATGCCTTTGATAACAATTTTATTAGTTTATATTACCCTTCCGTATTTATTAATCAATAATAATAATTTTATCTGTAAATCATGTGCGCGCGATTGTATTTTATTAATTAAATGAAGTTAATAAATGGAAATTTTTATTTTAAAAGGGAATATAACGTACGTAACAATTTATAATTATTTATTAAATATTAAATATATTTTGAGTAAAATTTTATTGATATTCTTATTTTTATCCGTGTTTCTGTAATTTATGTATGCACTGTATTTTAAAATTAACAAAGATTTTATTGCCAACCTTTCAACAAAATTCTAGTTATATTTCAGTTTAGGCGACATTAGCGACATCTATCAGTAATATTATTTTGGAGCGTATCAATTCTAACCTATTATTGTAATCAGAAAATTTTTTATTTTATTATTTAACATTGCTTGTATGAAACGTTGGATTAACAACGTTAATTGACATTATTGGCTTGTTGTGTGTGTTATCTTACTATAAAAAAAATCATTCCTTCGTAACTAGTACCATTCTTTATAACTTTTATAAATAACCAGATAATTGTTCACATAATCTTTAAATAATTAAACATGAGTAATAGAATGAAAACTGCAATTTTAAAAAAGGTATTTTTTTCCAAAGTCATAAAATGTTCAATGATTTGAAATTTATTTTTTATTATTATTTATCTAATTATATTTTTGTTTTCAGATTACAGAATCCTTGCCAAACGGTAACAATATAAATATATCCAATGTTGCATCTTATTTGCATTTGAAAACATGTAAAACAGAAGGAATCTATTCTTTCCTACTTCCATTAAGAACTAGACAATATAATATACAGAAAGAAGCACAAAATATCATAAATAATGAGCCAAATGGTATTTTTGACACCATTAATATAGAAAATAATGCTATCTCTTTTAATATTTCCAGAGATAGATGTGTTAAAGAACTTTTGGAACACAACTGTTCAACAGTGTCGGCTCCAACCTTTGTGAATAATAAAAAAAATATAATAGTAGAATTTAGTTCACCTAATATTGCAAAACCTTTTCATGTAGGACACTTGAGATCTACAATAATAGGAAATTATGTTGTTAACATCAATAGTTTTGTAAACAATAAGGTGAAAAAAATAAATTATTTGGGTGACTGGGGCACACAATATGGCTTAGTTCAATTAGGAATTGATATAACAGGTACTAATGAGGATGAAATGAAAAGAAATCCTATAAAAGCCTTGTACGCAGCATATGTTAGTGCCAACAAATTAGCTGAAACTGATTCTTCTGTATTAGATCGTGCGAGAAAAATATTTAATGATTTGGAAAGTGGTACAGGAATTGCACATGAACAGTGGAGCATATTTAAACAGTATACTGTTGAGGAATTAAAAAGGGTTTATAGCAGAATTGGTATTACATTTGACGAATATCATTGGGAATCTATGTACAATGCCAAAAATATCAAGAAAATAGTTACATTGATGGAAAAAATGCAATTACTAATAAGGGACGAGCAAAATAGAAAAGTTGTGAATCTGAGCAATGAGAAAAGCGTTCCTATAATCAAGAGCGATGGCTCCACTTTGTACATAGCTAGAGATATCGCTGCAGCTATTGATAGATTTGAAAAGAATGATTTTGACTGTATGTATTATGTGGTGGATAATACACAAGTAAGTCATTTCTCAAATTTGTTAGAAATATTAAAACAAATGCAAATGCCGTGGGCTGAAAAACTCAAACATATAAAATTTGGCCGATTGCACGGTATGCGTACGAGAAAGGGAAATGTTATATTTTTAGAAGATATCTTAGATACTGCCAAAGATATCATAAAACAGAAACAAATTGACTCACATAGTATGTTAATTTTAATATTAATTATGTAATATCTAAGTTTATATAGAATTAGTTTTATAATAGAGAAACTTTTGCAGCTACTAAAGTTTGTCTAGATTCATCTGATAACAGCTCGGATATATTAGGCATTTCCGCAATGATAGTTAATGATTTAAAAAGAAAACGAGAACGAGATTATACGTTTGATTGGAATACAGCATTTGATGTAAGTGATCTATATATTATCGTGAAAAAATTATGTGATTTTATATGCGTATTGATTAATTTTTGTCCTTATCTTTTTTGTAAGGTCAGTTGAAAGGGGACACTGGTGTGAAATTACAATATACACATTGTAGATTAGGAAGCTTGGAGCGCAAGTGCGGTGCTGTCCTAACTTCGAAATGTGAGCCAAGTTTATTACAAGAAGAAGTTGTTGATGAATTGGTCATATTAATTGCTAAGTTTGAAGAAGTAGTGCTGAAATCATATGAAGAATTAGAACCCTGTATATTAACGGTATATCTTTTCAATCTAAGGTATGAGATACAAACTCCAAGACTCAAACATTTTTTTCACAATTATCTAACTATGTACAATATGTACAGAAATATGCACAAGTTCTCTTTCTTTTTTAGTAATGCAATTAATAAAGCTTTTAATTCATTAAGAGTAAAGGATGAATTGCCTGATGTTGCTAGTCAAAGACTGCTGCTTTTTCATGTTGCTAGAAATGTTCTTGCACAAGGTATGAAATTACTTGGTCTAATACCCTTGGAAGAAATGTGAAGGCAAATGTACGTGTGTACTCTTAAAAGAGATGTGAAATTGCAGCACATCCTGCTTTCTTGGTAAGACCTTAAGTAGAAAAATTATGCGTCTCTCTCTACTTTCTTATTCGATATCAAATAACTAGCTTTATTTCCGTGAATAAATTTTATTGTATAACGAGATATTTTTCTATGGCGCCATTTCATATAATTTTAATGCGTGCAATGTGAAAATTACATGATAATAAGAGTTAACGTTTGTTCCAAGAGAATTTTCTTCTAGCACCTTCTTGACCGGGCTTCTTTCTTTCACGTATCCTCCAGTCTCTTGTTAGAAGTCCAGCTGTTTGAAAAGAACAGTAACTTTTTAATTATCTATCATATATTTAATTAACATTAATACAGTTTTATTGCGACATATATATACATATATATATTGTATTAATATATTTTGCCAAATTGATTGTTCCTTACCAACTCGCATTCTGTCGATTGTTGGTTTATCAACAAAGCTACGTAAACCCCATGAAATACCCCAACGTATAGCACCCGACTGACCAGTAGACCCTCCACCATTAACCGTGGCTTCGATATCTACTTTATCAGTCATATTTGTAAAAAGTAATGGAAATATAATCTGTAACAGATAAAAATATGCAAGAACCATGAGAGGTAACTTCGTTTATAAGATGACATATTAATATAATAAACAATTATTAAAAGGTAAGGAAAAGCCAACTTAGATATTAAATATTCCGAGATTTCTTTAAGAAAGTTGATACTTTTTTGAGAAAATAAAATTGAAAGCTATGATAATTTTTTTATTAATAGAAACCAAAAGTTATAATTGCCGTTTACTTGTAAAAATATTTACAGTGAAAGAGAATATGTACATACGTATATATATATATATATATATATATATA